AGGTTGCCATAAGCTCACGGAGAATCTAAACGACGTTCTAATCTCCATTCCGCAGGAATGGACGCAGTTGTTGAGAGGGCTGTGCAAATGGGAGTAGGGTGATTGGGTGACCTGGCACATAAGTGCTGTTCCAGAGCAGGCCTTCCGGGTGCAGCAGGAAGTGGGCCCCGATAAACATTGGCTGGATGCAGAGATGTTCGTAATTCGTAATCCGGGAATCATAGTGAGTCACCTGGATAAGGAATCCAAGACGGCAATCACAGTTAAGAAGTGCCTGCTCAGGAAGATCAGGGTGGTAGAGGATGACAAATTTACAGTATTTGCACCCACGGTAGCCATCGAAGATTTGGAGTACGACCCGGCGGAATGGGCATGGAATATTAGGGGTGGAGAGACACGAGTGGCAACGAAGATCAACATTCTGCGCTATACAACGAGACTGGGTTATAGGCTGAGGAGAAGATCGACCCAACTGGATCTTCCCCTAGCCTTAAGATGGGAAAAGAGGGAGGGGATACCAAGAGACCAGGTGGGGAAGTTGCCCTGGTCGTCCCTTCACAGTATAAGATTGGGTAAGGTCAGAAGTCTACAGTGGCTCATCCTCCATGTGGCCCTCCCAGTCAACTCTTGGTTATATGAAAGAAGAAGCAGGCAAGCTAGGACAAAGGAGGAACGAAACTGTCCCTTGTGTACGGGTGGGGCTCCGGAAACGATGGTCCACTGCTTAATCTCATGTCCGGAGGCAGAGAAGGTGTGGGCGTTAGCCCGCACACTATGGTCCCGGGTCACGGAAGTTCCATTCCCTCCGATCAGAGACAGACTCCTAATCAACATGGAAGCTCCCAGAGGCTGGAATTCCAGCCAAAAATACATTTTCCGGCTACTGAGGCTCTACGCGCTGTGGACAGTGTGGAAAAGAAGATGCCAAAGGGTGGTAGGAGAGAACCATATGACCATAATGAAATCCAGAGGAACAATGTACAACCTGCTGGAAACAGAAATCAGAGCACAATGGCAGAGAGCCAAGAAGCAAGCGGAGAGGCAGGAGGATTTAAACCCAGATAAGGCTAAGGAAATAATTAACAAGTTTCGGACAAAGGTTCTAGCAGGGGGTAAGGTGGCTTCATTGGAAGGGAAAGCCTTGCGCTTCCATTGGTTTAAGGATGATC